TTGACTCCATGTTTTATGTTTTTTTGTTTTAGTTTAATGTTTACATGTCTATGTTAGACTTCGTTTGTAGACTTCGTTTGTAGACTTCGTAATAAAACTCTGCAGTCCTTGCTCCATGTTTTATACTCCTCCAACCCTGATCCCCAATTTAAGGGTTGGTTCATCTAGATTAATTTTTTGTAATTAAGAAAAAATCCAAACATACAATTTTTGAACATATGTTGAACATGAAATACTATAATATTGATAAAGTCAAACTATAAAATTTGTTCAGGATGAAATACCATAATGTAAACTACAATTTTTAACATAAAAGAGAAAGATAGATGAACTACACCCTAGCACTAGCGTGCTCCAACGTCCATTCCCGAGCTCGAGCATCAAACCCCGAGTTGTCTTCCATGTACATCCTCGCTTTCTCTTCATCGTAGTACGCCCCCTCACCCAATTCTGGGTTGCTCAGCATCTCATGAATTGATGTGAGAATCTTATGGATGGTGTTTATGGGCGAGAAGTAGTCGTGGCTGATCATCCGTAGGAAGATATCTCCTCGATGGCTAACGTTGGGGTGGAAGACCTTTGTTCTGAAGAAGACGTGGGGTGCCTTGAACGGGTATTGGGGAGGAAAATGCATGTCAATTAGGAAGACTCCGTTCTCGTACGGCGTTCCTGCAGGTCCAAAAAACTGAGCCTTCCAATAACTGATATCTCCATCAACCGGGCCTAATAATAAAATGTGTCAAGGAAAAAAAATTAGTAGATTACAAAGTCTATACTCGGAAACAACATATTAAACCATAATACTACAACAAAATACCTGTACTGTATAGCGGGCTCTTAACCCGCTCAATTTCCCTTTTCTGCATCATGAGGGATTTCTCCCAGAACTGGACTGAATAGCGTTCCAGATCAGAACAATACAAACAGAATGGCGAACAACTACAACTAAACCCCGAATGATGCCACTCACATAAATCAAATCAGATCACATACTACATATATGAAGCATCATCGATATACCCTCTAAACCTAAACCCAACTGAGGCAAATGGAAGAAACCGCAAATGAAACCCAAAAATACGAAGAACCCTAGAATTTCCCCCAAATTGATTCAAACCCTAATGTCGATAAACCCACGAAGCGATTGTTACGAGGTGGGGAATCTTTATCTTGCTCGTCGCGACGTCCCGATCAATCAGCTTCGTCGTCTCGGCAGTCAAAATCGCCGGTAAACCGATTCGTCGGTGACAGGAAAATACTCAGGGAAACCCACTCGATTTCTCTCTCGAAAACAAAATGAGACGGACAAAAAAAAAACGTATTTAAGGGTGGTTTGGGTGGAAGTTTGTTTTCCCAAAATGAAGTCTACTTTCACAAAATGAAGTCTACTTTCACAAAATGAAGTCTACTTTCACTAAATGAAGTCTACTTTATCAAAATGAAGTCTAATTTTCCAAAATGAAGTCTACTTTCCCAACATTAAGGGTGGTTTGGGTGGAAGTTTTTTTTTTTTTAACAAAAATTAATTTAACGGTTATCAAAACAGTTGACACAAAATACCCTCATGTCTTTAGTAACTGAGTTACGAATTCAAACCATTCAAACACCAAAAAAAAAAAAGATTTTGCCCAGATATATCGGAAACAGTATTCACCTACAACATAATTTAATAACATCAAAGTTAACGATTACAAAAATATAATAGCTGACTACTAGTAATCCATTACAACATAGTCGTCTAACGATTGAAAACATCCTTTGCCAGCTGGTAGTAAACATACAGGTAGCAATGCTCACAGATCATTTGATGCTTGAATCCGCATATGGGGATTTCGGAAAACGGATTGGGAAACATCCCGTGCACCGTCGGCTCTTTGCAAGCTTCGATCAAATCCATCACTTGATTTGCAATCCCTTCCATGTACTCCATTCGTGACTTCCAACCAGCTATACGGTCAAGGATTACCAGTCCTCTCTCATAAAGACCGTATGCAGAGCCGCAAATTGCGAGCATTAAAGTCGCAGTATCGACTCCAGCTTTTGACGATTTGCTAAAAAACGTAACGACACCCTCAATATCGTTATCAACCGTAATCTTGGTCATGCCGCGGAGGTACAATGATGTTGGATTACCGGCACTAATCGCTGCCTCAATGAGCATAGGGTACTGCTTCATCAAACTGGGTTTTTGGACGAAGGCACTAAGGTTGATAACCCTAATGACAGATGGATCCTTGAAAGTTTCGTTGAGGAACTTACATGAACAAGCAAACGAGCAAGCGTTTTTTGCAGACTCCCTTGCAACTCTTTCCAAAATATCAACCAGTGCATCGCAGATCTGAGGAAACAATTCATTTGCAAATGCCGACGAGATAACCTCAGAGGCCACCATTATCTAACAAAGATTCCTGCATCAACGGTAACAAAGCTCTAATGAGAAAAACTAGTAACGGTTTTAAACTATACACGAATAAAGTCTACTTTATCAAAATAAAGTCTACTTTATCAAAATGAAGTCTACTTTATCAAAATGAAGTCTACTTTCCCAAAATGAAGTCTACTTTCAAAAAAGAAGTCTACTTTCACAAAATGAAGTCTACTTTCACAAAATGAAGTCTACTTTCCCAAAATGAAGTCTACTTTCCCAAAATGAAGTCTATTTTCAAAAAAAGAAGTCTACTTTCAAAAAAGAAGTCTACTTTCACAAAATGAAGTCTACTTTCACAAATGAAGTCTACTTTCACAAATGAAGTCTACTTTCACACTCTAAGTACAATCCGAGTCGCGAAGTCTACTGAAGCCAACCGAAGCAATCTTAACATAAAAAACAGTATATGAAGCAATCAAAACATCATAAATACTACATATGAAGTCTACAGAACCCAACCGAAGCAATCAATACATGATAAATACTGTATATGAAGTCTACTAAAACAAATCATCGAAATGGCTACAAAGTTTATAGTGTTACCGCTTTTATTAGATGAAGCTAGCGTCGAGAAGCTGGCGTCGAGAACCTAAGTCAAACCCGACGGAAAAATTTACAGGAAGATGGAAGAAATTTAAGAATTGCTAAGTATATAACTTCGGAACAACATCTACTAACCGTTTTGAGGCAGGAAATGACGTTAACCTCCAACGGCGAAAGCAGATCTGCAAACAAAAAAAACCCTAATTTCAGATCTGGAAACTGGGGATTTCGAAAACGGAACGGTGATGAATACGGAGGAGTAGGGAAGCATGGGGGTGTGGTTGGAGAAAGAAAACTTGCCTGAACGAGTTTATTGGCGGCGATTCTGTATATCGGCGGCGCCGGAGCAGAGAAACAGAAATCGCCTTCGACCTTTTTTTTTTACACGAAGTCTCGACTGGTTTTTTTTTTAATGGGATCTGTAAAATTCGTATATATAGTCTGGTAATTCCGTACGGTTCAGGTAAGTTTTTTCCGGTTAAAGTTGCTAATTTTCCGGGGTCTAGGTTAATTTACCCGGTTAAGGGCAGTTTCTCTTGGTTAAGGGAAGTTATTCCCGGTTTAATCTCGGTTAAAATGTCTATTAGGTTAATTTTTACGGTTTAGTAGACTTCAATATCGAAGTCTACAACTTTTAAGACCTAAATAATAAATTTACTTCTACTTAATTTAAAAACATAAATTTCCATTTATCAATATGAAAAAAATATATGTATATTTGGGTTACAATTACGGAATTTATGAAGGTAATTTTGATACCAAAATTTTTTTTTATAAATTTTTAAATTAAATTTACAGATTTAATTACTTAGTAGACTTCATTTAGATAAAATAAAGTCTACTAGTAGACTTCATTTTCACTTTAGTAGACTTCGTCAGGGAGTAAACGGTAATTAGGACATCCGTTTTTTGTTTACTCATACAGGATTAAATGGTCTTTTCACTACCCCTATAGGTTATATCTGTCAAATGTTTTTTCAGGGGTTTACTTTTGTATTCAAAATCAAGTTTTGGGTTATTTTTAGCAAAAACCCTATAATCTATAGACATGTCAACCAATCTGTTAATCTACGGATGATTTATAACATTAGTTCGTAACTTCTCATTTAGCTGATATACAAATATATCATGAATAAAAATATATGACACTTCTTCACATTTTCTTAGCACACAACTATTTGTATCTGTCTATAATATTACTTTCAGACTTTGATAAAAAAATTTGCATTTTTGTTAAAACATTTTTTCCGAATTAGTAAATCTTTATCTCACACAATTTTTTTTTCCTTTTGCATTTTGAGTTTACAATCATATATGATTTTTAATAAACACTACAAGAATAACACTGTTTTACAACGGCCAAAACCGTTGTAAGTTTGTTGTAATAGCCCTATTACGACGAACTAGCGACGGTTTGAAAATTGAGGTAAAACTATCATCGTAAAAGACATTTCATCGTAAAATCTAGGATGATTTAAATTCGTCGTAATATCGACGTAAAAGGATCGACGTAAAAGGATCGTCGTAAACGCGTCGTAAAGCTTACGACGACTTTACATCGATTTACCTCGATTTGGTTTTCAGCGTAACCATCATTAAAAACCGACGTAGGTTCGTCGTATAATATACGACGTACGATTCGTCGTAATTCGATCGTAATATTTTTTTTATTCGTCGTAAAACCGTCGTAGAACTCTGACGTATATTCGTCGTATACTATACGACAAATATTTGGTCGTAATCGAGTCATACGCATTACGACGATTTTACGACGATTTAATAAATAAATAATAAATATATTACGACGATTATACAGCGTTTTTTATAAATGAAATTAAAAAATTATTTAATCTGAATTAAAATTTAATTAAAAAGAAATAATTTAAAATTTAAATTTTAAATAAAATTCAAAAAAAAAATTATAATAATTACAAAAAAACTAAAAATCTAAACGTAAACTAATGTCGTCGATCCCCTCATCGTCCTGCTCCGGATCCCCATCCTGCTCCACATGTTCCTTGCCGGGTTTTCAGTTGGAGGATTCCGGCGCCTGATCCCCGGCTCTAGGAGGATCAACTCCAAGAGACCGGAACATCTCCTCGTCCGTCTGCACCGGTGGTTGCCTCCTAGAGGATGAAGAAGATGCTCTGACAATTCCAGCTGCCCGCAACCTGTCCAACTGCGCCTGGAGCAACGGGTTGTCGGCCTCCATAATCTCGAAGAGACCGTACAACTGGTCGATCTTCGTCACATACTGAGTCCGCATCTGATGGATCTCCTGACGGATAACGAGCAGATCCTCTGCCCGGACATGACCAGTCGTCCTAGCAACTGGGGTATCACGGATGGATCCCATCTCTAAAACCCGACCCTTCTTCTTAGGGGCAACCTGAAAATATGTAGAAAACTTATGTAAAAAAGTACAATATAAAGTTAAAATTAAACAAAATAGGAAAAAGAATACACTTACCTCTTCGAAGATCTGGTCCATCTCCGCCACCGTCAGCGTCGGGGTGGACTGTATCGAGTTACCTCTGGGAGACGTCGGAGGCGCCTGCTGAGTGAGCTCCGTCTGGCGCTCCTCGATCTGTGCACAGGCGGCGTTGTAGATCTCCTCCGCCCGAGGATCCGTAAATTCGCCGTTCTTCTTCTTATGGGTCTCGGCGAAGACCTTCGTCATCGGAGGAAGTTCTACCCCATTTTCTTCGACCTACAAAATCAAAGTGAAATTATTAATAAGACGAATAAGAATTATTTAAAAAAAAACTCATCAATAAAAATTTACCATCATAAGTCGTCTTCCAGGGAAAGGAATCTGAGCGAAAGTGTGCGGGACGTTTTTTCGATATCCCGCATCGTCAGTAGCGTTCCTGAAAAATATAGTGATTAGATTTGTAATTAAGTAAATCTAGATAATATTATAAAATAAACACAAATTTTAATTTAATTTACAAAAATACCTGGATGTGGAACACTTGGCGGCAATAGTCTGGTTGTGCGGGGTCAACCAATGTTGCATCAGACCCTCCCAGATGGTATCGGCCATTGGCGCCGGCTTGGCCTTGTTGCCGTCGACCTCCCACTTCCGCTTCCAGTCGGAAACGGTATTGTTGAGGCAAAACTTGACCTTTTCTTTGAAAGCCGCCTCCACACGTCCGTGTGCGGAAGTTTCTCAATGCCAGTTTTGCTAGAAAAAAAAACAAAGAGTTAGTAATTATTGTAAAAAATAATTTATAATAATATAAATCGTAATTTTAAATAACTTACCGCGAAACACTTGAACCAAGTGTCAATAGTTGCCTGATCCAACTTCTTTCAGCTGGTATGGGGTTGTACGAAAACCCTGTATCTTAGTTTTTGGCAAAATCAACATTCCTCGAGCTGATCATCATCTTTCCGAAAAATCATACAATTGTCAACACATACATCTATCATCTCAAAAAGTAGACCAAGACTAAAAATCAACTTCTGTATTTCATAGTATGTTGCCGCTGCCAAGTTATCCTCCGGTAGATACTCTTTCAGAAGATCAGCCCAATCATCCATACAAACCTAAGCCAGGTTATGATCTATTTTAATTGACATCATCCTAGCTACCACCGATAATTTAGACAGATCTTCTCTACATCCTTCGTAGATTGGCTGATTAGCATTGTCTAATAAATCATAAATTGCATCTACATTAGGTTCCTCAACAACATTATCAGTATGTGTTTCATGAAATGCATCAGTCACCATCTCATGCATCCTATCATGATCTACACCTTGATCAGATTGATACTGATTAGGCTGATGACCATAATTTGATTCATCAAAATCAACATGACTTTGATAATTACTAATACTACCAGCATTCCCATGAGTATTACTGTCATATCCTTCTCCATGTAGATACCAAACAAAATATTGCGGCATAAACTCTCTATTTAATAAATGCGTCCACACGGTTTTGGTTAGTGTATACCTCATATTCTTGCATTTCAAACGAGGACAAAACATCTTCCCGCTATCTTTCGTTCTCTCCATATTTGTGGCCTGATACATGAATATTTTTAACCCGTTCTTGAATTCTTCTGTCAACGCCCCATCTGAATCTTTACGCATATACATCCAGCTTCTTAGCTCGTATATAGACATCTTGAAATAAACTCAAAAATACTATCTCTTTCTATTGTTTAGACAATAAAATAGACAGTCTCTTGTGTCACGTGTAGCCACGTGAATGGAATAAACCTTTTAATATTATTACTTCTTTTTTTCAAAGAAATAACTACTAATTCGGGTTTCCAGCAATGGACAACCCAATATATCAGGATTTACAACACTATACTAAGGTTTAAGAGACCTAAAATGGGTCTCCAGGATGCTGATGCTCTTATGTTTGAATGATGATGTGTTGTGAATGAAAGAAGGAATGAAGATGTATTTATAACAAAATTTCGGACTTTACGATGCTTTTACGATGATTTTTTACATCGCTTTTACATCCAACCTTCATATTACGATGATTTTATGTCGATTGTGCGATAAAATATTTCATCGACATTTGTTAGGTAAATATGTTTTAAATGTTCTTCAACTACCTTCTTTGTCGACGTAAAATCGTCGTAACTGTACATCGAATTTTTGGCGTCGTAAATTCGTCGTAATGTTACACTCAATTTACGACGGTTTTGCAATTAATATCAAATCTCTCTTTATCGATGTATAATCGTCGTAAAACGTCGTAAATTATACGTCGAAGTACGACGATTGTTTTTTACGACGGTTTTACGACTCGTAAAACCGTCATAACATCGTTGTATATTTGCGATGATTTTTAAACCGTCGTAACAGACCATTGGAAAACGATTGTTTTCTTGTAGTGAAACATAAAAAACATATACAATGGTGGTAAACTGTATAACATAAAAAAATGAAGACAACACTTCATCATATTTTATTACAACACATATATTTATTTTCCAATCGTTTTTTTGACATATCAAAATATAACCTTCAGATTTTGATAAGGGTGATTTGCATAAATAATACTTCTGACAATTAGGTGAATACCATACAAGATTGGTCAATTAGGTAAATGGCAATAGTCAACTGTCTAAAAGCTAAGGAAAATACTAAAATCCCCTTGTTCCTTTATCCCATTTATTGTTATATACCGACACGAAAATGACGTTTGCTTTATGTAAAAGTTGTACATAAATTTTTTTTTTCTATCACTAAAGAACAAAACAAATATTTAACTTTTTCTCTCTCTTAACAAAATAAATGACTATCTCAACAATTAAAATAGATGACTATTTTGTCTTTGTTAACAAATTAAATAACTACATTATTGATGTTCAAGTAAATTTAGTTTGAAACATTAAAGCATCATAGTTATAGTCGTCTAAATGTAGATGACTATAAATGTATACACATGAGAATTTTTTTTTTTATAATTATGTTAATATAGGTGCTCGAGTAGATGACTACTGACAAAATAATCATCTAAATGTAGACGACAAATTCATCACTAAATCACTCACAATAGACACATATGAAAAAGAAAAAAAAAGCATTAAAGCATCATAGTTATGTAGGTATTCAAGTAGGTGATTATTGACGAAATAGTCGTGTAAAAGTATACGACTATAAATGTATACACATAAAAAAATTGAAACATTAAAACATCATTGTTATGTCAATGTAGGTGCTCGAGTAGATGATTACTGACGAAATAGTCGTCTAAATGTAGATAACTATAAATGTACACACATAAAAAAATCATAATTATTTAACATAGGTGATCGAAGAGATGAGTAAATTAACGTATAAATGTATACGACTAATTCATCACCAAATCACTCACAATAAACACATAAAAAATATAATTTGAAACATTAGAGCATCATAATTATGTAAGAATTCGAATAGGTAACTATTGATGAAATAATCATGTAATTGTAGACGACTATAAATATATACACATAAAAAAAATTGAAGCATTAAAACATCATATGTTAATGTAGGTGTTCGAGTACATGAATAATGAAATAGTTGTCTAAATATATATGAGTAATTCATCATCAAATCAATGAACACATAGAAAAATTTTGAAGTATTAAAGTATCATACTTATATAAGTATTTGAATAGGTGACTGCTAATAGTCGTATATATGTAGATGGCTTATTCATTATCAAAATCATTAACATTCCTAAATTTTTTTAGGATGAGAGAAATGAAATGTGGAGAAATGTGGAGAGAGGTGAGAGGTGAGAGAAATTAAATATGTAAATAGAAAAGCAGATGGTCTCAGTTGATAAAGAGTTCTAGGTAATTTCTTACCCATTTAATTGAATATAATAATATTGCTAATTTGAACTCTGATTTAAGCTCTTCCACCTAAATTTCCTTTTGATAAGTACTTTGCTTTTTTTTATTAAAAAGTATTTTGACAAATTATTGAATGACAAACTCACACATTTTGCTATTTGAATTTAAAGGTTACAGTTCATACAAATATTTGTGTGTAATAAGATAAAATGGTGACTGGTGAGAAAGTATATACCATTATTTTATCTTCCGTCTTGAAAACGCGATGCATACACGTTTTGAAACTACAACTAAAGTAAATAATATTTATTGATCTACAAAACAAAAAGGTTCATAATAATTACCGCAATTAATTTAGTATCCAACATACCAACCAAACCCATTGCATAATATACATTATAACATAATCACCTTTTATAAACAAACGTCAAAACGCAATATATATATATATATATATATATATAATAGTTTCATATTTTATAACCCATAAAAATAAAAAATAAAAATAGAAAACAAATTAACATCACCTATAAAAATATATAATCATAAGTTTAAAAATAAAATTATCAACAATCATAAAATATTTACACAAAAATAATAGGAATACAATAATTAAAGTATAATGTTTAAGGGATTTTCGGTCTTCGAGTATGAACAAATATCCTGCAAAACAGAGAAGACGTGAAGGTTCGAAAAACACAATGGAGGTGTGTTTTCCAAAAGCTCTTCAACGTTCAAGCCAGAAAACAGCTCAAAAAGACCACTGAGTGGCTAATCAGAGAGCGGAAAGAAGTCAAAAAACGAGTGAAAAGAAAAAGGCCGAGAGTCTTTGAGGAAGGTAGGATCTGCCCGGGCCTTTGGGAGGAAATGAGCTTTTTGCGGTGGAAAGAGAGGAAAAGAAGAGTTCGCGGGTAAAAATGCTCCACGGTTTAGAAACCGCCGTGGAGTGGAAGCAAAGAGAAATGATCAAAAAATCTAGTCAAAATAGTGTAGAGTGCCTGGACTTAAAAACCACAAGTATCTAGAGAGATATAGTGAGACTTAAAATGACTAAAATTGTAAACCATTTTTTCGTGGGAAAGGAAAAAGTATTTATAAGAAGTTACCTGATCCGGGTAAGTATATCAAATCGATCCATGGATAACGAGTCTGGTGGGTCGGCTCATGATCCGACTTGACTAGGTTCAAATCTTGTGATGATGTCATGCTTTTGACGGTCTCACAAACTTTCTTTGGCGTGTTCTGCCTGCTGCGAGACCGTTCCTTGACGCGTCTCTTGTGTTCTCAGTGTACGAGTCATGTCGGCGGTTCAGACGCAGTATGGATATTTGCTGAACCTTTGTTTTTCCTCCTGGCTCCTGCGAAAGGTCACTGTCACCTACACACATAAGGAAGATACATTAAATGCCAATCTGGTGGGTTTGCAAGGGTATGAGTAATCAAATCAGACTAAGTCACATTTCTATTGTCGAATGGAAGAAAATTTAAATAGTATTCCCGCCTAAAAAGTGTATTCATACCTGGTCTGGTTCTCTCGATACTGGGACTGGGCTGCTGAGAATGGATGACTTCCCTCTCTAGGTACCTGTGCAGGCCACAGTTCTTTATATCCCGATCCTTCCGGATCACCAAGCTTAGGTCTAGAACATAGAGAATGTGGTCTTTCCTCCTTCTGACCATAGTTTCCAACTTCCTTGTTTCTGATAGCGTGGCGTGCACTGTCGGACACGAGGAGTTCGGAAACAGATGACCTATCGTGTCGGATCTTCCGAATTCATTCGTCCGGTGTTATATGCTTAGACCATATTGACACTACAAGAAAATAGCCTTATTGCAACATAACTTTTTCGGTAATCAGTTTTCGTTGAAATTTTACAACAAATTTTGTAATTTTTTTACAATGATAAATACATGTTGCAATTTTCTTACATAATTCTTGCAAAACAACGACAAAAGTGTTTGTTGCATATTTTTATTACTAATTTGAAAGAACTATTCAACAGAGTTTAGCAATTTTTTTGAGCTGAAAAATTGTCAATTTTTTTGATCGACTCCCTTCTTGAAGCTGAGGTACTTGATCTACTGCATTTTTTTCTTACGTTCTTATAAAAACCTTTCATTTATTTTGTTTCTCTTTCTCTATAAACTGATGACACTCATTTTTAACAAAATCTGATTGCTCGAGGAAAGTTCTTTATGATTCTAATCATAGCTTCACCTGCTAGGGTTTGTGTGTGTGTGTGTTTTTTTTTTTTGGCTAAAGGGCCTCTAGGGTTTGTGTTAATTCTCTTTCATAACAATGTAACTTTTTTTACCATTTATATGTCAATTTTGATTTCGTTCCGTAAGAAAATGAGGGGCACATTAAAGTATACTCCGATCTGATGTAGAGACTCCATATTTTGTCGTTTTCGAATAATTGGAACACAACACAAGGTTTGGTTTTTCTAACCTACATTTCTATTAAATTACTCTGTACCTGGTTGAATCAATAAACGTAAGATTCATACCATGACATGATCTGAGTCATTAAGTGGTTTGTTTCAGTCCCTTAGATATATATAAACTTGCTGATAAAATCAACAAAACTAAGTCAGGAAAACATTAGTAAGTTCTTACCAATGTTAAGCGACAGCCCCATCTGTGTCAGCCTAAGAATCTGTAGATAATTGGTCCCATATTCAATAAAAAATTTGGAGATGGTATTGAATACTGGACCAATTATTTTCTGATTTTATGCTGGTTCAAATGGGGTTATCGCTTAACGTTATTAAAAATTTACTTAATGTTTGTTTTTGAAATTGGTGGTGTTGATTGATCAATTTTCTTTTTCATTGGTTTGAATAGTATGGTTTTATTAGATATTATTTTGATGCATTGTGGCTGTTATTTTCTTATGATGCACGTGTTTTAACAAGATCTATATGTGAACGGTTCTTGTCACTAAGTTTATCGGCAAGTTAACTTATTTTTAAGGACTTTTGACTTAACAGAGTGTGAGAGGGCAAACCGAAGAAAAAGAAAGCATATTATTACGGAAAATAAAACTGATAATCTTTTGAACCAACTGAACTTACGTCATGGCTTAAACAAGCTCATGTGCTATGTATTCAGACAAATACTAAACAGAAAAACAAAAAATGGCAAATTGTTATTGAATTCAGTGTTTCTGTTCTCAAGATCTTATCACCATCTTTTAGCCAAGAGAGAATCGTTATGATCAAACAAAACAAGAGTCACCTTTATTTTGTTGAATTACAATGTGTTTTTCACGACGAGGACGACGAAGCTATCTCCATCTTATTAGACTTGGCGGCTGCAGCTTTTGCGTAGATAGGGTGAAGAACATGACCTCCCTTTGGATCAACATGAATCCATTTGCGTCCAGTTATCTTGTTCTTCTCAAACCTGACTCGTCCTTCCTTCAACGCAAACAGAGTATGGTCCTTGCCGATTCCAACATAGTCTCCAGGATGAAACCGAGTCCCACGTTGTCGGACTATTATGTTACCTGGTATCACATTCTGCAAAAAACACACAAACACACTCACTAAGATTGATTTTGATTCTCTAGAGAATCCTAATTCCAGTCGCTGTTCCTTTCTTTACCTCTCCTCCGAATTTCTTGACGCCGAGATTCTTGGGTTTAGAGTCACGACCGTTCTTTGTGGAACCAGCAGTTTTCTTTGTAGCCCAACGCTTAAAGACCAAACTCAACCCACTTGTAGAACCATCTTAAAAAATCCCAAACAAAGAACAAGAAACAACAACACATATGAGTTAACCAGAGAAAGAATCATCAGATACACACAGAGATTTCGAAAAAGAACAGATTGATAGGTATATATATACCAGAAATGCTACTGCCAGTGTAAGCAGGAACCTCGTTGATTAGTTCCCTCAAGCTAACTCTTCTGCATATAGATGCTGCTGAGTTTAAGAAATTCATTTTTATTCAAAATCTGCAAGCAACATACATAACCTTATCCATTATAGCAAATACTAACCATTTCATAATAAAAAATGGGAATTTTCTCTTAAAATCGAAATCACAAAACAGAACCTGTTGATCTTCTGTTCAATTATCATAACTGATCAAACTCGGAAAAAAAATTGATTACATTTCAGATTAGATTCCTCTAAAGTTCTTCCACTTTCCGTGATTCTGAGTCAAGAAACCTATCGAAACTCTAATTTACGAATCAAATCGCGATTTTCCAACTAGTGTAATAGGACATCGTTAGAGGAAACCTAATCGGCAAATTTCTCCAATTCAGACAGAATCAACACTCTCGACAGATGTTATATTGAGGAAGAAACTTACCGGAAATTTTCGATTCCGGCGGTGACCGGAGACAGCACGGTTAACAGGAGGGAGATATGGCAAAACTCCAAAACCCTATTTGTCAAGTGTCAACTATACGCACAGAGGGTCTTCACTTTTCTTAGTTTTACATTATGACCCCTATATTTTAATTTTGATTATTGCAAAAAATGTTTTTGAAGGGAACAAAAAAAAAGTTCCCAAGAGGAATTTTCCAAAGCATTTGTGATTCTACACTTGCATAAGTTGAAATATCACACTTTTTGATAGATGTCGTCTCCACAGCTATTATCCTACGTGGCATTAATGAAAAAATATTATGTGTCATTTTAATTTTTTTTTATAGGTCGATCATTAATCATACGTGTAAAAACCTGTGACATAGTTTTTTCATTCGATAATGGACCAGCGATTTTGTTCTTGGTCAGAGCCACCGATTCTAGTAATAGAGCACGGACGTCGAAACCCTAAACCTAAAGTATCTATCCTACTATATATACCCGTATCACCTACATATATTTTTACATATAACAACTATCTTCTAAAGTTTAGCAATTTTTACAAAATTCGTCCACTTCTTTTTCACGAATACATCTTTTGTATATTCCGATCTGGTTTAAATTATATCGTTTGTTTAGTTGGTTGTTCTTCTATGCTAACATTTTAATCGTTTTGTTCCGATCGGGATTCTTCTATGCTAACCGGTCAAATATCTATGCTTTTTTATCGTGTTCAATATTACTATGCGTCACAACTATCTTATTTTTTAACCCCTGTTTTACTCTCTATGTGATTGTCATCGAGATATCATATTTGTGTTCTTTGTTTTACTTTATAATTCTATATAAATTTTTTTGTTGCTTCTGTATTAGATTGTCGTGTTCCTCTTTATTAAGTTTTTCCTATGGATATATTTGAGTTATTGTTCGTAAATACATATTTACAATTATTGTATTTCTGAAACCTAGAGTTCATCCTGCAAACTATAGTTGATTTGTTCGAACTTTTGCAATCATATATTCAAATGAATCTAAAGATAATTGTAAATAAATCATTAATACTTCTTTTTTTGGTCAACAAATTATTAGAACTTCTAATTTGCATCATTAATATTCGTAAACTCTCTAATTTATTATTTTGATCTTTTTATAATGATCAAAACCATAGAAAGGAATTTTCTTTGTGTGTGTAATTCATGTTTTGGTTTAGGTTTATATTATTTTTTCTGGTAACATATTTGTAAATGGATGTTATTTATTGTTTGACTGTTTGATTGTTGTTTGTTTCTCTTTGGGTTCTAGTATATATTTTCTTTATATTGTTGTTTATGTTTATTTTTATTTCTAAATATAATTTTATGGTTTATTTTCGTGGTAGCTTGTGTGGACATGCATCTTTAAGCAAAAAAAGAGTAACCAGTCCAAATTAGTTTTGGTTTCATAGTTTACTATATATAATATGAACAAAACAAGGTCTATTGTTTTATAATTTTCTCATTGTTTTATGTCCAAAGACAATTATGTTGGTTCTGGAAAAAATATTTTATAGTTTTGATTTTTACCCAACACATTCTTTTATCAGAAAAAATATTAAATTACTCTCAAGACTAAATCTATCAGGCATTAAAGCAATATCTTTGTTGGTAAGTCGATGAACAGGAATATGATGTCTCATAACTTCAAAGAGCAAAGGAAAAGCAGGTGACAACGAGACTAGATTCAGTGTGACTATAATCTTTACGTATGTCAAGTTCTTGTGTTGATATACAACAATCGTATTGAGAACAGAGTGCAAACCAACTGAAAATGGCATCATCCAATTGGTGTTAAATTATATTATGGTTAATCCATGACCCACTTCTTAGTTTCATCGTTTGTTAATGAACTCATCAATTTTTTTTAACCCCTGATGAGAGATAAAACCAGCTGAAGGAAGGATAGTCACCAATACAGAGGAATAAGAATGTTTGCTAGAAACATATTCATGTTGTAATTTTCATTATTTTGTAATTTGTTTCAGCTTGCTGGAACTACATTTTTAGTGTTTCAGGTTTCATCAGAGTACCGAATAAATTAATGATTCTCTGACACAAAAATCTAAGAAACATAGATGACTGAAATTCTTGTGAAATAAAGAATGAACATACTCACACATTGCGTTTTTTATATGTTTTGATGTGTAAAAAGTAATTGTTGTGTCGTATAACTCTGTTGCTTTAAAAATTTAGTTTTTGAATTAAAATTATCCTAAAACAGTCCATCCTTTGATTGCTTCTCTAAAACCTAAATCTTAGAATATAAAGCTTATATGTATCTTTGTAGAAGAGTTGAAGAATGAGATGAAATCTCTAATAGGTTTCTATGTTAAAAAAAAAAAAAACTCAATTCAGATTGTTATGTGTTTCTGAAGTTCACTGGTTTACTTGAACACGGCCAACATAGATTGAACACTCATACATTGAATTCGACAATACTAAAACGGGTCTGAACCCCTGACTGAAATGTGTGAGGAAAACACGGAAGGTAAAGAAAACAATGGATGAAACGAGGAAAGATAGTTGGGTGACAAAGAAATGTGTGATTAATATGAAAAAGTGGGAAAAAAGAGATGACGAAGGCTTGAAGGTAACAAAGAGAACAAAAGAGAGAAGGAAATTAAAAGTTGAGGAGATAAGGCTAAAGCTATATTGTAGAATTTATCATTAATTTAAAGAGAAGAAGAAGACGAAGAAAAAGAATGGAAAACCTAAGGAGATCTAAGTAATGAATATAGAAAGGGAGGGATGGAGAGAGAGAGAGAGAGAGAGATAGAGAGAGAGAGAGAGAGAGAGAGAGAGAGAGAGAGAGAGAGAGAGAGAG